TATTACACTATTTACATAAGTTTATGGCGGGCCCCATAATATTATGTAAATTTGCATCAGAAAAAATTTCCTGATGTGATTACTCCTACACAAACTATTAAATAATTGATAAACATTCGTTAGAATATTTTGCAAATTGCACATTTGTTTGATCAATGCAATAGTCTATTTATTAAATTTAAAATAAATGAACTTAGCTGTTCTTTGTATTTTTCTTAATAATAAAGATAATTCTCTTCCTGTTCATCTGAAAAATTCACATGACAAAAGATCTGCAATATAAGGTAAAATTTTTATTGTTTCAATTTGTCTATTTTTGATAAACTTTTTTATGTAACACACCATTTTAGGGCTAAACATAGTAAATTTGGTAAACTTGTGCTCAAATTTTCCACAATAGCATGACATATCAATGAGATGAAATTGTGATTTTGTAGAAGAAGGTCTTGGCTTCAAATACACGATTTATTTTGGGGTATTGCATTTCCATTTTTGGAGAATTTGAAAATCTACATGACCAATAAAAAGTTGTGGGACTAAGTGACTTGCACCTATTGCATTTTTGATTGGGAATTTTTTCCCAAATCTGTCACTGTGGCGCAGAAAGTTGTAGGGACAAGGTGTCCTGCACCATAGAAAGCCTAGATGACAAAAGTATAAAATTAAACTTTATTTAAAACAAAAATTTAATTTTAAACATTTTTTTTTACATGTTTCTTAGTTGGATGCTTAATTTTTGTACACAAATTTTTAGTATGAATTGCTGCTTCAGATATATTGCTGGTTTCATAACTTTCTTCAAAATCTGTAGAATCATCTGATAATTGTTGATTATTCTTGATTGTTAAAATGCTTCTTCATTTACTATAATCATACATCAAACACAGGATATCATGTAGCTAATTCTTGATTATTGTAAAATGAGTTTTCTGATATATTATCTAATTTTAATGTTTGCAAATTCATATTATATTATGATGATGATTGATAAGGGATTGGTGAATTGGGTGAATTAGAATTTGACATCATGAATTTTATTTTTTAAAATTACTCCTTGACCAAAAATGCAAATAATTTAAATAATTTTCATCACTTTTGTCAAATGTTGGAAATCCTATTTCATCACATTTATTTTCGTCATGCGACAAAAAAGGGGACCCAACCTTGGTCTGAGTATCATTTATTTTGAAAATGTAAGGAGCAATTTTTTCACCTTGTTCTTTTTTCAAAATATTTCTAATGGTGCTGTAATTTTTGGGTTCCATAGTGGATCTGACACAAATTAATTTCATATATAGGGACAATTCTATATATCACTTAAGATAAAATATATTATAAAACAGTTAATTGTAATCACATTACAAATGACTAAATTTTGATCCCTGAAATTCTTGTAATACCAATGTTCACTTTGTCTGGTTTTGTTGCAGTATGTTTTAATTTTAGATTAAAAATCCTACAAAAAATAGAAATACCTGAATCGCTACTATTTTCATCAATTCCACTAATGTCACCAACAATTCCTACTACACATATTATACACATGTAATTAAATGTTTATTTTACAAAAAAAAAATCTTTTGATTACCTTCTACTGTATCATTTTTGCTATTACTACTACCAACAACTATAAAGATTTACTTACATATAATAAATGTTTATTATTGATTTTAAATTTTCCATATATTTTTACAAATTTCAAAAAAAGATAATATATATTTTCATTAATATTAATTACTTCAGTTTCTAACCATGTATAAGCCAATTTTTATTAAATAGCTGCACGAATTTTCACAAAGCTTCGTCGATTTTTATTGGCCAATATTTGTATAATGTGACGCCCCGCCGCACTCATCTCATTATCCGTTCGCCTGCCATTTACTATTACTATTACTATTACCTCTCCTCTAAAAATTAATCCGTCATCCAGTAGTTTCTCAAAAAATACACACGTCGGATTGAGTGGATTAATCATCCACGGATCGCATATTTAATCTTACGCCTGTTAACTTTAATATTAAGTTTAGATTTTTGATATCAATATTTCGAGACATTTGTGACACAAATTTCACGATAACAGATAATCAAAAAAACCTTGGATATTATTAATATGTTATTGTTTGCGAAAAAATCAAAAATTTTCAACAATTTATTAAATTATCATAATTATTCAAAAAAAAAAGGCTTTTCTAGCAAAAGTTTTAATAATGTCATCATAAAAAAACCTTCCCGTAACTTATCTAAAAATTATGATCCAGTAAAGTATTAACAATATATAACGTACATAATTTAGATTATCCATATATGAATACAGTAAATATATGTAAATAAAATCTTTTCTTCTTAATTTAAGGCTATTGTTGAGGAAGGATGGTATGAATGGTGGGAAAGTAAAGGTAGAAAATTCTCAAAATTTCTTTGGGTTATATAATCAACTATGATCAATTAATTTATCTATCCATCTATAGGCTTTTTCTCATCAAATCAAGAAGTTGATGATCCATCTAAAAGATTTGTTATGTTGGCACCACCCCCAAATGTAACGGGAAATTTACATATTGGACATGCATTGACTCTTAGTATACAAGATGCCATTGCTAGATGGTATAGAATGTCTGGATATCAAGTATCATGGATTCCTGGAACAGATCATGCAGGAATAGCAACGCAATCTGTTGTTGAACGGAAGCTTTATAGTGAAAATAAAGTAAATTTGCTTAAAAATAAATGTGCTTCATATTTTTTGGCGAATGAATTTTTCTCCAAAAAAGGAAAATTTTTGAAAAAAAGTTTTGAATATATAGATTACACGTCATCAACTTGGTAAAGATGAATTTATTAAGGAAATATGGAAATGGCGTGAACTTCATGGCAATCAGATAATCCAACAAATGGTAAAAATAATTTTTCTATAATAATTGTATAGATATTAAGTTGATTTTATATCAATTTGATTATAAATATATAAATAAACAAGAAACGATTAGGATCTTCATTGGATTGGAATAATTTATATTTTACAATGGATGAAACTAGATCACAAGCTGTAAAAAAAGCTTTTATCAAACTTTATAACGATGGATTAATTTATAGAGATAATCGTCTAGTCAATTGGTGTTGTGCTTTAGAAACTGTTATATCAGATATTGAAGTATGATAAGTTATACATATTTGAAAACTGGCTAGCTAATCCATTGAATTAATTATGAGTTATTATTCTATTAAAAAAATTATTATATTCGTTGCAAAGGTAGAATATGAAACTATTTCGGGACAAACTTTTTTAAATCTTCCTGGAGAAAACGAGAGGCAATTAAATAAAAAATTTATTCAAAAAAATATAATCACAAATTAATTTTTAATTTCTTTTTTGAAAAATATAGTGTTGAATTTGGAGTATTGCATAAATTCGCTTATCCCGTTGCTGATTCTTTTGGTGGAATTAAGGAATTGATTGTGACAACTACCAGAGTAGAAACAATATTGGGTGATATTGCAATTGCAATACATCCTGACGATCCAAGATATAAAGTTTGTGTCTAAATTTTAAAAGGAATTTTGTTTCTCTAAATTAGATAATAAAAATTTATGATATTATGTTTATAACAATTAATTTATCTAGATACTACATGGAAAAGAAGTCATTCATCCATTGTTAAATAAAAGACTACCTATTATATATGACTCTGAATTGGTAAATATGGAATTTGGAACTGGGGTTGTAAAGGTATTTCCGTTTTTATACATGTATAGATATTTACTGTTCTTTTAATTTTAATATATATATATATAGCCTATTTGAATATTTTTAGGTAACACCTGCTCATGATCGCAATGATTTTTTATGTGCAAAAAGAAATAAGCTACCTATTATTAATATTTTCAATAAGAATGGAACATTAAATGATAATTGCGGAATTACTAATTTTGTTGTGAGTAAAAAAAAAGGATTAATCATTTAAATGTCGATAACTAATGAACGTATTTTGATTCATCTTTATACGCAGTCAGTTTTAAAATTTAAAATGATTTATATTTTATAGGGTAAAGATCGTTTTAAAGTTCGTGAAATTATTATAAAAATGCTGGAGGATCAAGGATATTATCGTGGAAAAGAATTAAATCATGAAATGAGAATTGCTAGATGTTCAAGATCTGGTGACATAATTGAGCCAATGTTACAACCACAATGGTATATTAAATGTAGAGATTTAGCAACTAGAGCATTAAAAGATGTAAAAGAAGGAAATATCATGATTAAACCTGGTCATCATATTGACGAATGGAATCGTTGGATGGGTAAGACTTTGGTTTGTTCTCATTTAAATAATGGAATGATATTTATAATTTTACTTTTGTTTTTTTTAAAAAAATATTAGAAAACATTCAAGATTGGTGTATTTCAAGACAATTATGGTGGGGACATCCTATACCTGTATATCATTTAACATTTTATAATCAAATTACTGGACGTGAGCTAAATACTTTATATTATTTTATAACTAAAATTTTTTATTTACGTGTCATTTTTATTTATAATTATTACATTGTTATATAAATAAATTCAGACCATGAGTTACAACTTGCTGCGACATCCAAGGCTGAAGCTGAAAAACATTTTGAGAAATATTTAAAAGAAAACAATATCGAGGCTTTAACTTATACATTAGTGCAAGTATGTAATAAATAAATTTATTTCATTTCTTCTTATGTTATTATGAGAAAATTGTAAATCAACATCATTCGTTATAATAGGATGAAGATGTTTTAGATACTTGGTTTTCTTCTGCTTTATTACCATTAACAGCTTTACATTGGGCAGGAGATGATAAAATACCCGTATTTATTATATATTATTCATATTACTATAATTGCTAGATAATTATCAATCTGTTTGTTTATATTAATTAATTGAAAAGTTTATATAGTACAATTATCCTAACTCCATGATAGAATCAGGTTTTGATATATTGTTTTTTTGGATATCTCGTATGACTATGTTATGTACATATTTTTCTGGTGAACCACCTTTCAAACAAATCTTATTACATTCGATGGTATTATTATTTATTTTCATTATATATAAATAAATAATAATCTAATAATTAATAATAATAATAATAATAATAATAATAATAATAATAATAATAATAAAGGTTCGTGATTCAGAGGGCCGTAAAATGTCCAAATCACTTGGAAATGTTATAGATCCTTTGAGTGTAATCGAAGGAATAACTTTAAAACAAATGCAAGAATCTTTACATGGGAGTAATCTTCCAAAAGATGAATTGGAAAAAAGTATTAAACTTTTATCAAAAGAATTTCCACAAGGTATTAAAACTTGTGGAACTGATTCTTTGAGATTTAGTTTAATATCATATACTCGACAGGTATTTCTATTTTCTATATCCACAACCACATTGATTAATTAATATATATGAGGATTAATTGAATTCTTATATAATTTTCTCCACCTCTTCTGTTAAATTTTTATTATTAGAGTCGACAAATAAACCTTGACATATCAAATGTTATTGCAATAAAAAGTTTCTGTGTCAAATTATGGAATTTATTTAAATTTTCTAATGATAGATTTGAAAAACTGAATCATTCCACCGAGATTCAAAAAAAATCACCAAGATTAGGAGTTATTTCGTTGAAAGAAGAATATCAACAAAATTTAAAACTTGTTGATAAATATATTTTATCAAAATTATCAAAAACTATAGATATTTGTAATAATGAGTTTAATAATCTGAAACTGTGTGAAGTAACCGATTCAATTAGAAATTTCATTGTGGATGACTTATGTGGAGTTTATCTTGAATTTATTAAACCTACTTTATATGGCAATAGAGAAAAGGTTGATGAAAGGGTGCGTAAAAATCAAAAAATCAAACAAAAATGATGATGATAATAATAATATTTTCCTTTCATTCAAAAAAAAAGGATCAACAAGTATCATTAAAAGTTTTGGAAATTTGTTTGGACTCGTCTCTAAGGCTTTTACATCCATTAATGCCATTTATTACTGAGGTAATAATGAAATTTTTGATAAAATAGAAAAAATTAATAATTATAATGATAATGATAATTTCTTTTATATGAAATAATTTAGGAATTATGGCAAAATCTTGTTATTAGAAATAAAAATAAGGGTTTAGCACCAGAGTCAATAATGTTGGTTGATTATCCTAATCTCCAAGACTTTGATATTTGTAAAGATGAACAAGTAGAAAAAGAAATGAAAGTAGGTGTAAAATAAAATAATTAATCCTTTAATCGAGTATTTTTTTTTTCAATTAATGTATCTTTTTTGTATAGATAATATTGGATGTGATACATGCTTCAAGGTCTTTAAGACAAAGTTCTAATCTACCACTTGGGCAACCATTACCTTTTATAATTTGGACTGATGATAAATTTTTGTCAAGTGATCAAGGACCCATTAAAAAACATTTAAAGGAAATTAAAAATTTTATCAAGGCTTCTGAAATTCGATTGATTGATAACCAAGTTAAAGTTTAAAAAATTTTCTTTTATTTGCCTTCTTTTTTAAAAAAATAATTTATATTTTTTTCTACTACATTATTATTATAGAATGAAGATCAGGATTCGACAAGAATTAATCAAATGATAACCCCAAATCTTAAAGTTCAAATTTCCAAATCATTCATCAAGAAAAATGCAGAAGAAAAATTTGGTTAATTGGTCAAAAAAAAAATATCAATAAATAAAAAACATATAAATAAATAATAAATAATACAAAGAAGAACATTATCAAATAATTACAAAGAAATAAAAAGAAATATATTTATGATATAAATATTGTTTTTGAATCTATTTTATTAAGGAAATTTTTTTTTGTTAGTTTTTGAAACCCCAAACTTCAAATCCTATACAATCAAATTCAGCATCTGAAGATAATATTTCATTATCAAAAGTGTCACAACATGAAGAGTGTCCTCGTTCAAAATCTGAATCAATCCATAAAGCAGATCTCCCATCCCTTAACAAATTATTAATATAATTATAAATTGAATGAATTTGGATAAAAACTTAGAATAAAAATTTTAAAAACTATTTACCCTCCACCAACTGACAAATAATTATGTTCACTTAAAATCATATATTCATTTCTTCCAGTCCACAAATAAAACTTAACTTTAGGAGACGATGAACCATTTTCTTCCAAATATATTGACTTCCATAAAAAGCTTATACCAAATATATATAGACATATGTAAATGTATGTAAGTATGAATTTATATATATATGTTGAACAATAGTTTTCTTGATCTAATTTTGTATAATAATTAATTGACTCTTTACCATTCGCCAGTTCCATAATAAGATGGTTTTGGTTTTAATGATTCAGTCAAAAAAGCACCAAATACCTAATAAATAAATAAATAAATAATTCTGAAAAAAAAAAAAATAATATTTTTTTTTGAAAGCTAACCTGATCATTCATATCCTTTATTGCTAATATTAAAGGACCTTTATCTTTTACTTTATGATACATAGTTGACATACTTGTACCATCTTGATCAAGACTATATAATAAATTCCATGATGGTGCAAGTCTTAAACGTCTTGGAAGAATTTGTCTTATCTAATTCATTAAATGTGTCAGAGAATTTTTATATATATCAAAAAAAAGAGAGTGGAAAGTCAATTAATGGTGTATTGTAAAGTAATAGAAAACTACTTGTTCTGCTGCGTTTATTTCAAGAACTAGTTGAGTATCTTCTTTTCGACCCAATAGTTGAAGTGGAGTCAGTATATCTTTTGACATGAGTAAAAAAAGATCTTGTGGTGGTGTTAAAGGACTTAGCGACAGAATCACGTGATTTCAACAAGCCAATCGGTTTTTACAAATCGTTGATATTAATAATTCTACAAAAAAAAATGCAACTTTCAAAGAATAATAAGCAATAAACTAATAATACTTACAATCGATAATGAATGTAATAATAATAAACTAACAAGGACTTTCAATCAAACAATGAATGTAATGACTAATAGTAAATATCTCTAAAATTTCCTTTTTAAGGTTAGTGGTAGTTTAAAAAAAATAAAATATATATTTCCAAATTGGGATCAACAAAAGCACCTCATAGGTTACTGCCGCAGCCAGGTAAATTACCAAATTTGGATGATTTTTCTCTGGCGATCGATGACCGTTGGAAAAATTAAAATGTAATTTAATTTGTATAGTTCAGTGTCGTCAGCGGACACGGACACGGAGACGGACTGTCCTGGACACTCCTTGGACAAAAGTATTTGGAGACTTATTTTTACTAAACATACAAAAACTCACATAATAGGTTAAGATTTTGATGAATATGCATGTAAATTTTGATATTTTTAGAATGTTTAAGAAAATATGAATATGAATGCAAATTTTTGGAATTTTGGCCAGTGTAAATAATTTATAAAATCGCATTTATTAAAATAGAAATAGATGATTCTCACCATTTTCGTTGAGCTTTGGGGTTTTTTAATTAAAATTTTTCTAGATATTCTAAAAATATCAAAATTTACAGTTATATATAGTTTATTCCTTTTCTTTGGTTAATGCTGGTAGACTTGTTGGCTAAATGTAGTACTTGTTTTAGTTGCTGAATTTCTTGGACTTGTTGACTTATCTCCTGATCCTTACTGTTTCTAATTGCTTTAATTTCCCAGCTAATTGTCATTCTCTTCATTCTTGGGCTATTTCTAAGGCTTGAATGTGAGTTTCAGTATCTAATCTTGCCTTTTTAGTTTTTTGTTTTCAGTAATTTCAATAATTTTAATTATTGTGCTATTTTTCTCTTCATTTCTTAATTGCTTAATAAATTCTTTCAATTATCTTTATCTGTTTCTATTTCCTTAGTTAATTTATACTTTTCCACGTCTAAGTTTTCTTTTATAATTTTAATTTTGTAATTATTAAATTATCAATTATACTTTCTTTATATTAATTTGTTATTGGGCATTTATTAATCAATCCTACTAATATTTCTTCAGCTTTCTTTTTTAATTGTATTAATTCCTGATTATTTTCGGGCACTAAAATTTTTTTACTACTACCATAATATACATTCATGAAAGCTCTATGTTGGTTTTGGACAAGTAATATCTTTAAACTCATCTTTTACCAATGGACAAATATTATTATAAAGGTATTCTTACCTTGCAATCCAGAGGAGGAAGTGTTGACACTGAAATAAATAAAGCTTTAATTTCTTCAAAAATATCTGCTCTCTTAGTTTTCAATAAATTGAATTCAGCAAAGATCCATTAGCAACTTCTTGAGTTTTGACCACACCAGGATTAGATACTTCAAAAGAAAATGTTGATATTTTTGCAACCATTTAATTTTTTAAAATAATAGATTTGACATCCAAATATTGAAAGCCTTTTCCACATTCATAGCATTAAGCCTTCAATCCTGCTGGACTAGATCTTTTTACTACATCAACCACATGCACTTTTGTCAATCACCATCTTGGTTTTTTATTGAAGCATTCTTTTAGTAGGTAACAGTATAGGAAAAAGTGGCTGATTTGTCACAAACACAAAAGGAGATGATGTGTTTTGTACGATCTGGAGATGGACCGGACCTACAGGTTCTTCTAATGCTTGATCCAGCTAAGTGGGAATTATCTTATACAGAGATTTTGTGATTAAAGCCTTGTGTGGATAAACAAAGATTCTGATTGGAAAAAAATAAACCATCTTTGCAAGGATGGGATTGATATAAGATTTGGGAATCTATTTAAGGGGAAATACATCAAGTCTGATAATGCAAAACTCCTAATCGATAGGCTCCTCCAAACACTATTTATTGGAATTCAAGTGATGTGTAATCGTGTGATAGTTTTTGGGATTGATTTTTACACTAATTCTTTTTAGGCAGTTTCTATTTGTACACTACGCGTGTAAACACGGTGTTATGTTGCACATTATTTTACATTATATTGGTTCACAACCACACTGGATCATCCCATCATTTGATCCAAACAACCTTTTTTGGCCCATTTTTGGGAAGTTGAACAAGTGCCAACCACACAATCTCTAACCATCACTTTATTTTATCATATCAGATCATCCCACCATTTTCACAAATCAACCTTGTCTCGTGTTATATATATACGCACATACAAATCATATGTAAGATGCAAAATGAAATGTTATGTGTCCCAAACCCTCAAGCAAAACACTCGCTCTAAAAAAGTTTAAAAAAAAGTTAATTTTTTTTATTGATGCAAATTTATTATGTAACGCGCGTGACATGTGTACATACACTACGTGTTTGCTAAGAAATTTTCTAATAATAAAATAATAGAAAATTACAATGTGCGGATTTTTTAATGTTACACATTTATATCAAAAGATTTAGATAAACTTAAAACGTAAAGGCTCAATAACCAAACAAGCTGTGGGAATAATCTTTCCGTGCAGTGGTTGTATTTTTATGCACTCAATTAATAACCGATCAAAGAGTTTTTTTATTTATATTAGTAAAAAATTTTTTGTGAAGGTTCAATCACGAAATCGCATGTTTTGAAATTTGAGTACGTGGCGCAAAATCCTTTACAAAAAAAACATTCATTCAAAACACCTTCATTTGAAACGGGACTAAGGAATGTCAAACTAGATCGATAAATATGCACCAATTGATACTTTGGAGTTGAAATTATTGGTAATAAATC